AAAAACAAAAGAAATTCACTCAGCCCCCCCCCCCCAAAAAAAAACCAGGAACCCGCGTTAGATTAATTTTTTTTTTTTTTAACGTTTTTTTTTTACGTTACAGAACACCGAGAAGCAGATGCGACAGCTAGCCGTCGTGCCGCCGATGCTGTTCGACGCCGAGCAGCAGCGCATCAGGTTCATCAACATGAACGGCCTGATGGACGACCCCATGAAGGTCTACAAGGACCGGCAGGTGATGAACATGTGGAGCGAGCAGGAGAAGGACACCTTCAGGGAGAAGTAAGTCATCGCAGCGCAGATCGGAATGTCGGTAAAAAATCGGAACATCGCGAAAAACTCAGGAAAAAGTTTCAGTTTCCTCTGAAACTGTTTTAGTTGAACGCGACGCTCGCAGGAATTGAAGGAATTTTGAAAACGCAACTCAATTTGGTTTTTTAGCTGCTGCCCCCTACTGGCAGGGATGTGTAATGACTGTAGTTGAAGCCAAGTAGCTGTTAATATGTATAATGGTAGTAGAAATAAAAGTATTAGCAGTAACAGGATGTTAGCGTGAAGCAGCTGATGATGATGATGATGATGTCACAGCGAGCTAAAGTGAGGAGTCGTTAAGAGGTTAGTTAGTCAGTCGGCTCGCTAGCTAGCTAGTCGTCGCGTTGTACGGCTGCGATTTCCAGAAGAAGGAAATGTGGAGTTGAATTCAAACCCGGGACAAAAAGTACAGACCAGTGCAGTACACAGCAGAACAGACCAGTACAGACCAGTACAGACCAGTACAGACCAGTACCAACCGGTACAATACAGACCAGTACACAACAGAACAAACCACTACAGAACATACAAGTACAGACCAGTTCAGTATTGTACAGACCAATGCAGTACAGACCAGTACAGTACAGACCATTACAGTAAAGTACAGACCACTACAGTACATACCAGTACAGTACAGACCAGTACAGTATTGTACAGACCAATGCAGTACAGACCAGTACAGTATTGTACAGACCAATACAGTACAGACCAGTACAGTATTGTACAAACCAGTACAGTATTGTACAGACCAATGCAGTACAGACCAGTACAGACCTGTACTGTACACTACAGACCAGTACAGTGCAGTACAGACCACTACAATACAGACCAGTACGGACCAGACCAGTAGAGACCAGTACAGACCAGTACAGACAATACAGTACAGACCAGTACAGACCAGTACAGACCACTACAGCACAGACCACTACGGACCAGACCAGTACTGTACAGCACAGACCAGTACAGTCCAGCTTAGACCAGTACAGTACAGACCAGTACAGTACAGACCAGTCCAGTTCAGTACAGACCACTACAATACAGACCAGTACAGACCAGACCAGTACAGACCAGTACAGACCAGTACAGACCAGTTCAGTGACCCCCGCCCCCCAGGTTGTTAAACCCTGTTGTTGTGTTTTTTTTTACAGGTTCATTCAACATCCCAAGAACTTTGGTTTGATCGCGTCCTTCCTCCTTCCTGGAGAGAACGCTACAAGTTTCCGGTCGTCAGTGACGTCGCCCCTCTGTGTCCCCTCCTGTCCTGTCCCCTCTGTGTCCCCTCCTGTCCTGTCCCCTCTGTGTCCCCTCCTGTCCTGTCCCCTCTGTGTCCCCTCCTGTCCTGTCCCCTCTGTGTCCCCTCCTGTCCTGTCCCCTCTGTGTCCCCTCCTGTCCTGTCCCCTACGTGTCCTCACGGTGTCTTTCACATTTCAGACCGTGGCCGAGTGCGTGCTGTTTTACTACCAGACCAAAAAGAACGAGAACTACAAGAACATCGTCCGGAGGAACTACAGGCGGCGCGGGAGGAGCCAGGTACGAGTCCCGACACCGTCGGAGTCCAGGCGGCGGCGTGGACACCTCGCGGTCCTCGCGGTCGGCGTCCCCCCGTCCTCGTCCGTGGACGGGTTCCAACTCAAGTCGGTCTGACGGCCGCCGCCGTTGGCGTTTACCGTGTGACCTGGTGGGGGTCGGGTCCAGGGTCGGAGTGTCGGAACGTTAGCGACGGCTTTGTTAGCGACGACTCCGCTAGCGAAGACTATGTTAGTGACCACTCCGTTAGCGACCACTTCGTTAGCGACCACTTTGTTAGCGATGACTTCGTTAGTGATGACTCAGTTAGCGACGACTGCGTTAGCGACGACTGCGTTAGCGACAACAAGGGTTCATAGTTCACCGAAATAAGTCCTTCTGCAGGTTTTTTTCTTAAAAAAAGCTGAAGAAGCTAAAAATAAGCTAAAGCTAACTCCGTTAGCGACGACAAGGGTTCATAGTTCACTAAAATAAGTCTTTCTGCAGGTTTAAAAAAAAAGCTAAAGAAGCTAAAGCTAACTCCGTTAGCGACGACTCCCCTAGCGACAACTTCGTTAGGGACGACTCCGTTAGCTTTCTGCAAGTTAAAAAAAAAAGCTAAAGAAGCTAAAGAGAAGCTAAAGCTAACCCCATTAGCGACGACTCCGTTAGCGGCGACTCCGTTAGCGAAGACTAGGGTTCGTAGTTCACTGAAATTAGTCTTTCTGCAGGTTATTTTAAAAAAAAATGCTAAATAGAAGCTAAAGCTAACTCCGTTAGCGACGACTCTGTTAGCGACCATTCCGTTAGCGACCACGAGGGTTCGTAGTTCACTGAAATTAGTCTTTCTGCAGGTTTTAAAAAAAAAAAAAAGTCCTGAAAAAGGGACTGACGTCCATAGAACGCCTGACCTCAGCGTCTGTGACTGTGGTCGGTCGGTGGTTGATGAGCGTCGACCTTTAACTCCGGCCCTGCCAGACAGACAGGAAGTCGGTGAGGAAGTGGTTCTGGCGCTTGTAGAGCAAAGGTCATCCAGCAGAAACGTGTGCGGGCGGGAAATTTTTTTTAGACGTTTCACTTCCTGTTTTTTTCTTACAACTGTGTCGAAAGTCAACCTGGACTTCAACCCTCTGTCGCCGACGAAGTCCTTTTTTTTTTTCGTGTTTTCTTATCAGACTGACGTCGGAACCGAACGTGATTTTTTTTTTTTTTTTTTTTACAAAATCACGCCCCCTGGTGGTTTAGTAGATTCGACGTTATTATCAGCTTCCGGGTCTGAAGTTGCTGACGCTGCTGTCGGCCAGCAGAGGGCCCTATGTTTAACTTTTTAATTTCTGAATTCAGACCAGAATCGGATCAAAAAAGGCGTCACTTTGTGAAAGAATTACCGGGTTAGACCAGTAGGTGGCGACGATGAGCGGTTAGTGCAACAGCAGCTTGACGGGTCGGGTCGGGCGTCGAATATGGAGAGAGCGTCACCAAAAAAAAGGACACGTGATAAATGATAGTGGCAGCGGTGTCACCTGGTCCGACTGCAGCTTGACGGGTCGGGTCGGGCGTCGAATATGGAGAGAGCGTCACCAAAAAAAAGGACACGTGATAAATGATAGTGGCAGCGGTGTCACCTGGTGTCAACTGGTGTCACATGGTTCCACTAGTGTCACTTGGTTCCACCTGGTGTCACATGGTTCCACCTGGTGTCACATGGTTCCACCTGGTGTCACATGGTTCCATCTGGTGTCACCTC